TAGTGATAATCAAGGTGGGCCATTTCCAGCAGCTGACAAGAATGTCTGAGGAATAGTGGGGGAGAGACTGCTGAATTGGAATTAATTTGCAAACTGGATACAGTTAATTTAGGCTTGAATAGAGACTGGGAGTGGATGGGTCATTACACAAAGTAAAACTATTTCCCCATGCTTATTCCCTCCTCTTCTCCCCCCCCCCCCCAGACGTTCTTGTCAACTGCAGGAAATGTTCAAGCTTCAAGTTTCAATATGCAATAAGGCTCTTCTTTCCTTGAGGGGAAGAAAAAGCTTAATAACTTGCATCACTATCTTTACAGATACTGTAGAGCTTTTTTCCTTGTCATACTAACATTTTAAAATGAATATTTTCTTTTCTTTCTAGGGTTTTATACCACATAGCACCATAATATCTGAGTGTTTTACAGATTTTAAAAAGAAATACATAGCATCTGTTTTTCTCTCTCTCTCACTCTCTATTCCCTGTGTGGAGAGAAACTTGTTTAGTTTCTGTGCTTTTTGTGTGGGGGGAAAAAACTAGGTTATAAAAGTATGATTTGCATTTTGTTTTTGAGGTGGAGAGGTTTTTTTGTTCTGATATCCCAGCAGTGAGATCCACAGTTATGGGACAGCTGCAGAGAAAGCTCTGTTTCCTGTGTTCATTGGCCACACTTTTGTGGTTGACAATTCTATTGTTCCAGTAGAACTTCTGTCAAAGAACATCATCCAGAAGTTGGTTGGCCCATTTACAAAGAGGGCTTCAAAACTCAGGACTGAAGTCTCAGACCTTAAATTACTTAGTGGGGAGCCAGTATAAAAAGCAAAGCACTGAGTTCTTGCATCCTCTATAGACACTGTTGCTAAGCAGGTGAACTGGTATAGCTTGAACTCCTTGGAACCTTTCTAAGGCTGTCAATTCCATCCTTAGGTATATTGCATTGTAGCAATCAAACTCCTAGATCATGAATTTGTGGTTCACAATAGCCAATCTGATAAGAGATTTTGCCCTTCTTATGAAGGCATAGATGGAAGAGTGCCTTTTTCATAAGCATAGCTATTTATACATCCATTATCAGTGAGGAATGGAAATTTTATGTCCTGTGTAATACAGGAGATCTGACTGGATGATTATAATGGTCCCTTCTGCCTTTATAATCTATAAACTCTGAGGCTCCAGATGTATGCAACAATCTGAAAGTAGGCAAATTTGATGGAGGGTGGTGTTACGGTGGCACTGTTACTTTTTTTGCACCAGAATTACCTTTGTCTTACGTAGGGTTAGTTTCAGACAGCTACTGCTTATGCAGATGCTGATGAATCCTGACACTTGGATAGCTGGAAAATATTTTTTACTTCTCTTATTTTATGTCTGGCATCTGAATTCATGTGGATGTAACTTCCCCTTGTGGCTTCAAGTAGACGTATTAGGATGAATGAGATGATGGAGGTAGAATAACAATTTCCCCCTCATGACCCTCTGTGTAGTCTGAGAGAAGGAATTGGAACCATTTTAGTGCAATCCCCCTAATATCTCTTATACACATGATCTCTTCGTTCCAGTTGATAGCACTAAATGCCACGGAGATCCAGTATTGTAAGAATGGATCTGTACCCCAGTCCATACACAAGTGTAGCTCGTCTGTCAGCATGACAAGTGCTGCTGTGGTCTTGTCTCAGCCACAAACCAGATTGGGGGAGGGGGGTTACAATATTAACAGTGGACAGATAGAATTATTTATTACTGTTTAAAAGTTGTATTTTCTTTTGTAGGCATGTCTGTTTAAATAGTTGAGATTTCTCCAGTATTCTTTGGTGGTAGGTTTTAGATGAGTAATGGTATCCTTTCACATACTTTAGGAAAACAGGGTGAAACCTTACAGTATATTTTTTAAACAAAGCAGAAAAGTAACCTTTTAACATGAGAGAGAATCACAAAAATATAGGACTGGAAGGGACCTTGAAATGTAGTTATATATTCATGTTAGCCCAAAACAACCTGCCAGTGCTTACTGTTATGAATGAACATATTGATTTGACATTCTCCTGGGAAAAATGATGAAGACAAAGGTTAGTATGAGTCAGAGATGCAATCGCAAATCATGTAAATATAAAAGGCTTTTAAATTTCCTTTTCAAAAGGTGCTTGCTGAGATGGTAGGGGAGGATTTAGAAGACTGTTCTTTGAAGAGTAGTGGGGGGACTTGAATGAGTAAGTGTACAAATATTTCGGTTTTGGCAGAATGAGCAGCTTTCTAGCAATAGATAATTGGCCAATAATTTATAGAATCTTTAGGTGCTAGACAGGGCCCTCCCAAATTCATGGTCCTTTTTTGTAAATTTCACAGTAATAGCATTTTAAAAATCTTGAATTTCATGGTTTCAGATATTTAAATCTTAAATTTCACCATGTTGTAACAAAATATGCATATATATTTTAAAAACAAAATATAAACATGTAAAGCCCTTCAGACTCAGCGTTTCACAAACTTGGGGGTCCCAAACTAAAAGGGGGTTGCAAGGCTATTGGGAGGAGGGGGTCACGGTATTGCCACCCTTATTACTACAGAGCTGAGTGGCTGGAGAGCAACAGCTGCTGGCCAGGTGCCCAGCTCTGAAGGCAGCATAGAAGAGTGGCAATACTATGACCCCCTACAATAGCCTTGCGACCTCCTTTTGGGTCGAGACCCCCAGTTTGAGAAATGCTGTGTATTTTTACCCTATAGTATAGGGTACTTTTATAATAGATGGTAAAAGTACACAAAAGACCAGATTTCATGGTACATGATAAGTTTTTCCTGGCCGTGAATTTGGTAGGGCCCTAGTGTTAGAGGATTCCAGTTGTGGACAGCATACATAGTGATACTCGTGCAGTTTTGCTGTGCAGGGGTGAGTGGGCAAGCTGTGCACTGTCTTTTGTCCGTACTGGAGCAAAAGCAATTGGACCTACTTCAGATTTCCAGCTCTCACTAAGTTTAATTACTGCAACTTGATGGGAAGATTTTTTTAGTGCCAACTCTCATAGTTGTTATCATAAACGTTGTGGTATTGATAGTTTACTAAAAGTTCCAGCTTTTGCAGACAAATGTTTACATGAGAATCCAAGCTTCCATGTATTTTTTTAAAATTATTTTCAAACCCTTATTGGTGCAGAAAACAGTTTAAAAATGTGACCCAACTACACCTTATAGACTCAAAAATCAGAAGGCAAAATAAAATAATTTTTAAGGTCTCATGATTTTTGAATGTTTTGGGATTGGCAAGTGGGAGACTAACCCAAGAATAAGTGTCTCAGATACTTGTACTTTGTTTTAAATTGTCGGCAGAAGTAAGGGAAGTGAAGTAGGTGTGATGTGTTTCCCGCCGTGCCCACCCACCCACCCGGTGCCACCTGAAACTGGGTTATCACTGAGTCCTCTGTCTCACCTCTGGACTCCCTCTTGCACTGTGCTACTGTGACAAGCTGCAAAGCCCTCCAAGTTTGCCCTTACCCAAACATCCACAGGCAGGGGCCATACCCAGCTGTGTTCATGAACGCTGGGCTAGCCACTGCATTAACCAACAATAGAGAGGCTCCAGCCAAAATACCTCCAGCTTCCCAGACTAGGACCCCAGGGCCATACCGTCCAGCCCTGGTCAAAAACCTGACCAGAATGAATTTATTACCCAGTCCACCACTTCTACAAAGGTAAGTGGACATGCACCAACCCTTGTTCCTGAGCTGAGATTTTTCCCCAAGCTGTTTTATATATATTTAACTAAAACAGATTTATTAACTACAGAAAGATAGATTTCAAGTGATTATAAGTGATAGCAAACGGATCAAAGTAAATTACCATAAGAAATAAAACAAAATCGCAATCTAAGCCTAATATACTAGATAGGGTTTGAATCAAGCGGTGTCTCACCCTGTTAAATAGTACAAGCAGTTTGTTGACATTTCATACACAGGCAGGGCTTTCTTCTTTCTTGCCTGGGACCAGTACTCCTCCTCTCTTCACCCTTCCCCTCAGTTCAGTTTTTCCCTCTAATATTTTCAGCTGTTGTGTTGTAGGGAGAGTGAGGTTCCTTCATGTTGTCACTTCCCCTCTTTTATATCTTCTTCCAACTTGCTGGAAAGCTCTTTTGCTGTGACCTGGGTCAAACAGTCTCCATTGTGTAGTGCTATCTCTGAGAGGTTTCTTTTGTACCCAGTTCCTGCAGTAATCCTTGTGAGTGTATGTATTTCCTCAATAGACCATCAACATTGTTTGGCCTTTTTATTGTTGTACCTGAAAGGCTGCATGTGGGTGTTCCCAACCTCACAACCTGTTTCAGTAGCACAAACATAGCAAAACTTTATAACTTCATATACCATGATACCACATACAACTTAACAGGATATAATGTTCAACAGATTAAGACTTTTAGAATGATACCTTCACAGGGCATACTTTGTACAAAACAAAATCATAATCATATCACCATGGTGAGTATGGGGTACAGCCTTTTTCCTTGGGGGCACAGAATGTCACAGTAGGTATTATCACCATTTAAAAGATGAGACTGGGACAAAAAAATAATTATTTGCCCAAGATCACACTTTAAACTGGATAGAGCCAGAAATAGAACTAACATTTCTTGACTACCAGTCCTCTTCTATAATCACAATACATAGAAGACTCTTAAATTTCATCTGTATACATAGTGTCAGAATTTATGGTTCCCTATACAGTTACTGTGACAAATGTTGCCATTCTAAAACTCTGATCTCTTGGTTCTTTTTGGACATTACTCTGGGGATGTTTGGTGCACATATTGAGGACAAGAATGTGGAAAAATGGCAAAGAAAAGTAGCATTTGAAATGAGAAATCTACTGGATACTTTTTTATATACATGTTTGACTAAAAATAATTCTCAATCAAAATCTACATTAAAAATCTCCATGACAAAAATAATCCTCCATTTTCCTAGTTGTGGTGGTGTAGAAAGAATTAAAATTTTAACCCTTTGTTTTGGTTTTTCAGGCAGCAATGGAGAAGCCAGTTCACCAGCGATTGTTTGTGACAAGAATTTTGCAGGAGTTTGAAAGTGACACATTTTTTCCAGAAATTGATTTGAAGAAATACAAACATCTCCCAGAGTAAGTATCAAGATGTGTTAATAATCTGGTATGATGGGCTACAGTTCACCTTCAAATAGCAGAAAAATGAAAGACTTCAGAATCAACTTTGAATTATTTTTTAATGTCATTTAGGGCCATATTCTGCTCTCATTTTCTGCTATGTAAATTTTCCAGAATTTTTTTTTATTTGAATATTATGGCCCAGAAAGAATATGCCATGTATTAAAGGGAAAAGTAGTTTAATTCAAAAGAATTAATTAATGGAGTCCTTGTCCAATGTAGTAAAACAAATTAAGGCTCCAGTCCTATAGCCAAAAATGTAAGCCTAATGCTCACCTATGTAAAGTTACACAGATGTGTAAATCTTTGCAGAATTAGAACCTTAATTTGTTTCACCCCATTTGACAGAAACACCCTACAGTTGTCTCTAAGGGCTTGTCTTCTCTTCCACATTAGCTCAAGCTATAACTGAAGTTTTGCTCCTAACCCAAATCCTGTCCACAGGCACAAATGTGGTTCTTTAAGATTGATCTATCTGGACTGTTTGGAGGGGCAGGGAACTGGTTGAAGCTCAAATACTGCTGATGCTGGAGCTAGCAATGCAGTTGGGATGCAGCATCTCGAATTTATCAGCTGCTAAATCCAATAATTCTGCTACTAATAAAATCACTTGCTAAAAAATTGAAATGTAATCAGCATTCCCATGTTATGGATGGTGTTTTGGTTTTCAGACTTTTCCAGTTTGTTAGAAGTGTTGCAGATGATAGTCTGTTAAATTATGGGGTTTGGGTTTTTTTTTCCTCTCCTCCCCAGATATCCAGGAGTCCCTGCTGATGTCCAGGAAGAGAATGGCATCCGGTACAAATATGAAGTGTATGAAAAAACTGTTTAGACATAGTTAATTTGAGGTTTATTGCGCTAATGCATACTGTCAACATACATTAAAGTTTTATTATTTATACATTTTGTACAGTTACCAGAGAAACCACAATTCTTTCTGAGTCTAGGCAGCTGATCGAAAGCACATTCAAGTTAATGGAAAGACTCCCATTGACCTCAAGGGGCTTTGATCTGGCCCAAAGCATAGGGAAATAACTGTGGTATCTCCTACCTTGTGTAGTAACTAAAAGTAAATTTTAACTTTTTTAATGGCAGCCACGGTGCTATATTACACACTAAACAAATATACTTTCTGTTTAAAAACCTTCTGGTATGGAGAGGGATGCTTTCTGCCATAGCCATATCTTACTTGAATGGTGCTTCAAGAGGTAGACAATCTTAACCCTTTTGGCAAACTGGTCCATTCAAAACTCCACACACAAAAAAGTCACCTCAGTGAATCAGCATTCATCAGCAGAGGAGAAACTGAAAAGTTATAGTAGTAGATAATTCCATCGTAAGATATATACTGTAGATATGTGTCTGGCAGAAGACAATTAGGGATCCTGTTCAACCCTCCTTACTCTGAAGTTAATGAGAGTTTTTTGCCTGAGTAAGGAATGCTAAGTAAAAGCCAGATCCAAAACCCACTGGAGTCTATGGAAAGACTACCATTGACTTCAGTGGACTTCAGCTCAGGTCCTATTACCTCTAGAGATAGCATTTGTGTTTGTGATTTCGGTTCCAAGTACCATATAGGTTCCTTGGTAAATAGGATCTTACCATAAAGGTAGCGAGTTCAGAAATGAATTTGAGACCTCTGTTCTCCAAGGTGACAAATCTTTAATGTAGGTGAACATTCCTTAATAGGAGATCTGTAGAACAGAACTGACAAAACTTGAGTATGAAAAGAGAATTTACATACCAAAACCAGGATGGGTTCCAGAAACTAATTTGAAGTTGCCTAATACAAAATATCATATAAACTTACATATAAACTCAACATAATCAATGTATACACCATTCTTTTCACTCATGGTTTATGTAGTTACCAAAAACCTGAGTGGAAAAATACAGCCTTGGTTTGTGTAGTTGAGTATAATTTTTATAAGCCAGAAGCCCGATGGTTCAATTACATTTTTTTATCTATTAGCTGGGGATATTCTGGAGTAAAAATATGCTAAACAGAATGACATGTGCCAAGATAGAAAAATCAGTGTTGATAAGGAAGTATCTAATCTGTCATAACAAAGTTGGATAGTATTTTTCAGAACTTTAAAACATGAGCATGAAAAATCAAGTTATGGTCAAAGCACCCCCCATAATTCCTTTCCTGAGCTATCACTAGAATTTTTTTCCCCATGCATGAGAATCAGGAGAAAAAAACTAAATAGGCCACATTTCCAAAATGCAATTTCAGTTTTTTAAAAATATAAAGGCTGCTCTTGTGTGGTGCTGAGAGATGCTGAGGTGTTGCAACTCACTGACTTTAACAGGGATTGAAGACAGCACTTCAGAACCTCTTAAAATTAGACCATTAGTTGCAGATCTGAATATAAGCACATCCTGCAATGTACTAAGTGCTGCCTGCGCAGCTTGAGTGCCCTTACCTCCCATTCAGTGAAATTATTACTTTTAAGCTGCTGAGTGCCCTTATGCTGAAAGACCAAGCTCTAAGCAAGGAACATCACAGATAGTGTAGAATTAGATCTTAAATAAAAAATAGCATACCCTTCAGTTAGGTGACAAACAGAATAAAGGAAGCAGGTAGGTGCTAAACAGAACCCAACCTAGTTTAACTGGTCATTTATTCTGGAAGACTTGAATTGTGTTTTAAAAGTACAAGTATTAAAACTTTGAGAACCTATTGAATCAAAAAGATCAGTGTTATGAAGTCAAAATTTCTGAGCTTGATTATGTACATTACATAACTTAAAGGTGTGGTGGTGGGAAGTGGGTAATTTAAGACTGAAAGCATAACGTGCTGAGAAAACACAAGCATGCTTACTTAATAATTCATAGTGATATGGAAGCTAGAGGCCTCAGGAAACAACCTCAGGAAGGATTCTGCATAGATAGCCTTTGTGTTGTCTCTGCACATAATGGGACTCTGCTTATTGTATTCAACATACATAGCCAGACAATAGTGTGTTATGCCTTAATATTCTAGGACTGTTAACATTGCACTACAGTACGGTTAAGGCCAACCCTAATACCATTGACTTCTGTGGGAGCAGGATTGCCATTAGTGCATTTTACTGCATATACTGAATATTATGGTAGTACAGCAGCACCTTTCTACATCTTCTAAAATTGATGTGGTTCATGGGATTTATTAGAATATATTGTGGCAAAAATGGCAAAAACCAAAACAAAGAATATAAACTTTGAGTACTATTTGAATTTTCATGGTGGCTTGATAAAAATGAATTGATACAGAGGATAAGAGTTCGGACAATTTTTCCCACTTGTTTGTCTTTTCTTTGTACCTTTTTGTCAGATTTAAAGTACTCTGGTCTCTGTCCTTTGGCCACATCGTTGCGCCGCGTGTGCAAATTTCTAGCACGTGTTATATATCAGCAGTGTTTGTTTACAGAATATTTTCTAGCAGGATGCCTGCATGCCAAGTCAGACCCACTGAATTCTGATGACAAGTCTACCACAGTGCAAACAAGACAGAGATGGGGATAGAAAGGGAGACTCCCTCACCAACAGTAGTGACCTAGTAATGTTAAGGCAAAATGACCTCGCAGGTGCATGGAATGAATAACAGTCAGATGTGGTGGTCTGTTGGTATAAGTGATATAAAACCACACGGTCACTTTGCATTAGAGTATAGGTTTGAAATTGAGGCACGTATGCTTTTGGGTATTTGTTGGAGATGGAAATGAACATCTAATGCAGCACTGAAATGTGTTATCAGTATTATAGGTGATGTGCATTTCTTTTCACATTCATAAGTGTTCTGCCTTAACTACTAATTTCCATACTTTAAAGGTTTGGGGTGAATGGGGTGCATTGTGCTGCAACCTTAATGGTCCCTAAAAATAGTTTTGGATGCTATATAATGGATTATATTATTGCAAAAGTAATATCCCTTTAAGGCAATATCAGCATCCACAGCACCCCTTTGTGACTTGGTATGGCATTACTCACCCTTAGATTCTCTCCAGGTCTTCAGTGGTCAGTAGCCACCTCTGACATGGTCCAGTGCTGCGGTGACTTAGCCATCTGGCTAAGTCAACCTGGAAGGCATGACACTTCAGTGTATCAGAGTTCCAGAACAAATATAGCAAACTCAAAAGAAGGTTAATCTGTCTCAGCCCTTGAATGGACGCAGTTTTTCTATGCATGGGCTGTCTTTTCTAGCCAACATGGATCCAGGCTCCCTGCTTCAGGCCTACCTTCCCTCAAGGAGGCCCTGACTGGCAGTAATCTTGGCTTAGTTTACAGGCTTTTCTCATCAAGTAGGAGCTGAAGATCATCTTCCCTTCCTTGTCAGCCACCAACTGAGCTAGGTTCTCCCCTTTTAGCTCCAATCTCCAGGCCTGACACCTTCTGCACTTGTAGCATGGCAGGGTTGATTTGAGCCCAGAGGGCTCTCGTTAACCCCTTCTTGGCCAACATGGGGTTTTTTGTGTATTTTGTGTTTGATTAAAATCCATCAGAACCAAAGTAAAATGATCACCTTTTGATTAGGTATGAGGGATTTTAAAATTGTATATTTACACACCAAGGAGCTGAAAGAAGGTATAGTTATTATCTTTAACTCACACTCTGTTGGTTTATTTTTCTTGTTAAACATCTCCATCTGCCCAATGATACGTGATATAAACCATTTTAGTTTCCTTTAGCACATGAGTTTAAGCTAGCTGTGATGTGCAAGGAGTGGAATGTAAGTTACACATTAAGTAGATGCAAGCCTGCCCCTTTTGAGGCAGCCAAAATTAATGTAGTTTACATATTCTTAATATTAAGTTACTCTGAGGTTCCCCATAGATTGATTGAGATTTGCCTATTAAAGTTAATTTCAGCCCAGTAACTTATTTTGTCAAACATAACAATAATACAAAGGTTATTAGCAGTTGAGATTTGTCTGAAAAGTTGCATTGGATTCTTCTAGGCCAGTGCTTCTCAAGCTATCTGATGTAGGGGACCGGCAATATTTTTTTTCCAGTGTGCGCGCAGACCTGCAGCTGATGGCTCACGGACCGGCACCGGTCCGTGGACCACCACTTTGAGTAGCACTGTTCTGGGCCATATTCATGCTGCTCCACTTAATTTTGGAAATTCAAAAGCTATGCAGAGATTGTGATGAACCAGAATTAGGACTGGAGCGTGAACATAAAGAGCACAAATCCAGACTGAACACATGAAAGAAACCAAAGGTGGTTATGCTCAGGAGTCTAATCCAGCATCCACTTAAATAGGACAAGTGATTTTATGGCAAATCAGATTTGCCATAAACTTACATTGGAATCAGGATCAGACCCTAAGTTCTTGAAGTCCACCAATGAAGACACAGGACCAAATTCACTGAAGTTAATGGGAGTGCAAGGACCTAACTAGGACAGAATTTGGCTCCTAAATATGCAGTCAACCAGCAAATTTCAGAAATTGGAATTTGTGATCAAGCCTCTCTTCATTTAGTCAAGTTCAAGTGCTGAAAAGATGGAAATGGAGTGAAACTGGGCTCTATTCAACTATGATAATTTCTTAGCAGTGAGTTGCCTGGCAAATTTACTTTTACTCCAATAGGACATGGAACATTTTACTTGCCTTTATTTAACTGCCTTATATTTATTTCAGCTGACACTGAAGATTGCACATTTAGTCAGGTCTGTGAAAGATAAAGTAGTTATTGCAGGTATCTACTAGTACAGGGGTGGGCAAACCACGGCCCAGCCCACCTTCTAATCTGGCCCTCGAGCTCCTGCTGGGGAGTGGGGTTGGGGTCTTGCCCCGCTCCAGCTGGGGTG